GAAACAAATTAAATTGAACATACTTGATTAATTTTCTTGATAAAAAACAGAAGATCCCAGAAAGTATAAAGAAATCTACCTGCCCACATAGAAAAACTGGTGGCTTTGGAAATCGTCCACACACTTACAGTAGGCACTAAAAGCTGGAAGGCTGAGCATGTGGAAGACCGACTTACGCCATTTTAATATCATCATGGGTGGCATTTGGAGTGACCCCCAGGATCTTGTAATAGTCTATTCCATCTTTTATCCATCCTGTGAAGAGGATGGAAGGCACCCTGGAATGTCTTGGCAAACTCATGCAAGCTGGGAACAGGTAGTGGCTGGAAATACCTGGCCCTAAAAAAGAAAAAGAATATAACGGTTAGCTAGTCTTTGAATGAATGGGCACACTTTATAACTGTTAATCCAAAAGGCCTTTTCCCATTACTGAACTTTAAGTGCTATCTACCTGAGATCAATATAACATTACAATAATATGGTGTCTTTTGTCCACATTCTTTAGCTTGTTTTATTGTCTCTGCCTCAAGTCAATGTGGTTACTGCCTTCTCTCAAGGCAATGGGTGATAAATTTACTGTAAGAAGGAAATCCAACCTTCCCTGCCACTCAATCTTGCCTTGTTCCACATATCCCAACCCCACAGCCATTTCCAGGGCAAAAGGTGAGACTTTAAGTTAAAACAAAACAAAACTTGACAAAAATGTTGAAATTGGCCAAAAGCAGCAGCTTATTCAGGTAAACATTCCTTATAGAGATTTCATCCATAATGAACAGAAGATTCTTCCTTCTGTGTGACTGCCACTTTTATCTGTAATGTTAATTAAGCAGGAAGCCAGTTGAAATGGTAAATAAGTTGGGGGGGGGAGAGCACAAAATCCTAAACTGCATTAATAGAGGGATAAAATCAAGATCACGTGAAGTTCTAGTACCACTTTACAAAGTCTTAGTAAGACCACATTTGGAATACTGCATCCATTTCACCACAATATAAAAAAAGATGTTGAGACTCTGGAAAGAGTGCAGAGAAGAGCAACAAGAATGATTAGGGGACTGGAAGCTAAAGCATACGAAGAATGGTTACAGGAATCCGGCATGTCTAGTCTAATGAAAAGAAGGACTAGGGGAGACGTGATAGCAGTGTTCCTTATTAGAGGTGCTCTTACAAAAACAAAAGGATCAAAAACTATTTTCCAAAGCACCAAAAAGGCAAGACAAGGAACAGTGGATGGGTACTAATCAAAAAGAGAAACAATTGAAAACTAAGGAGAAAATTCCTAATGGTGACAGCAACCAACCAATGGAATAGCTTGCCTTCAGAAGTTGTGGGTGCTCCATCACCGTAGACTTTTAAACAGAGACTGGACAACCATTTGTCTGAAATGGTATAGGATCTCCTGCTTGAGCAGGAGGTTGGACTAGAAGACCTCCAAAGTCCCTTCCAATTCTATTATTCTATGTTCCAAGGTGCCCAACCTCAGAGTACTCCCTCTTGGTTGTCCAGCCAATTGAAGTTTCCAAAAGGTTCCTAGAGGGTGAACAAAGGAAAAATTTTCCTACAAAATAGTCCACCCTAGAAAATTGACTTGTGGCCACTTTGGACAGCTGATTGTTCTCAGAAATAAAGTCCTCTGTTTTAAGGGACTGCCTACTTTCTGCATTCTTTAAGTCCTGGATCAGAACAGAACTTTTTTTTTCTTCTTTCTAACAGTATTAATACCTGTACAGTTAAGAAAGATTTAATCTTGTCACATTCAGAGATTGGGGACAAAATAAAGGCAAAATCCAATCTGCTTGGATTACTACCATGTGTTTTACATGGGACTGCCCTTGAAGATCACTCGGAAGCTACAACTGGTCCAGAATACAGCAGAATACGGTTACCCCCTCTTCTGCTCAAGCTCCCAGTTTCCTCCCAGGTGAATTCAAGGTACTACTTATCACCTTTTAAGCCCTACATGGCATGAAGCAAGGTTATCTGTGGGACCATCTGTCTCTGAGAATATCTGCCCTTCCTGCCAGATTGGAGAGGTAGGCACATTCCAAGTCCTACTCCTGAAATCATAGGAGGGAATCTTAGTAGGACCTTGGAAGTGTGCCTTTTATGTGGCTGCTCATATCTTATGGAACACCCACTTTCTGGTGATCCAGCTGGACCCTATCCTCTTAACCTCTCTGAAGACCATAGAAATCAGGTGCTGGATAGAACGAGAATAATTGAGGCTTGTTGTGAGACATCTCAAAGGGATGATGGAGGCACCAGGTTTTTGTAGGTTTTTATGATTTTGGTTCTATGTTGTGAGCCACCCAGAGTCGTATTTAAGATGAGCAGTCCTACAAATAAAAAAATAATTAGGAAGATACAGAAAAAGAATTACTATTAGGGCATATCTGTGCCATGTTAGGTACAGGGGGACAAAGTTCAAAGACTTATCTAAATTCTGAACTTCTTGAATCAGCTTGGCTCATTCATTTAGCTGATCCATACTCAGAGTGTCTGCAAAGCAGATAGAAATGCAATAGTCAAAGAGAAGCCAAGGATCTGGTTCCTAGTCAGGTGATCGACTTGCTGGTGGAGATCAGTTTACTTGATTTGTTACCATTAATGGCAATAGGAAATCAGTGATCCATTTCCCACTTTAATCCAATAGAAAAGGTGAACAGAGAACCTCACAGCCCTGCACATTTTGTAACTGAAATTTGCCTTGATTTCAAATGAATATTAAGGCCCTCTCCAACAGAAACAGTGAATATAGTCTTATTAAAAGGCAAGTATTTTAAATAACCCAAAAACGATTCGGCCAATTCAAGATCATTTAATAAAATCTAGGACTGACCTTTTAAGGTAATTCCAAAAATTACACAACCAAACTGTTGAAGCTTGTGTCCTACCTTGGGGTGCTAAAAAGATTTTCCTGTGTATTATCTTTTTCCCATGTAGGCAGAGTTATAATCTCTGAAGGCTACTTACCTGGGGTATGACAGGGTATGGTTAATTGTGATGTCAGGGGCACTATCATTCGCATTCAGGTTTTGTGATTGGTTGTCCACAAGTAATAAATACAGTGTAAGGGAAATTCCACACTGTTGCTCATCTCCTGTGCCGCTCCTACCTGTTTCTAAAGTCAGCTTCAGACAGTCCACTCTGGATTGTCCCAGACTGCCAATGAAGTTGGACTGGAATTCAGTCCAAACTATGGCTACCATAAGACCTGATGGATCATTCCCCTGCTTCTTTCTTTTCCGTCCACGTGAGGAAGAGCAGTCTTGCTAGCTAGTTCCTGTGTGGACTGGTTTACCAAGGCCTTATTTTTCCTTTTTTGGGCTTTATCTCTTCTCATTAATCCCTGTGTTTTACCTTTGCTTTTCCAGAAGTTTGCAGGCATGGATGTCTTCACTCTCTACCCCACCAACCCTTCCTGCCTTATCTCTTTTCACACTAACCCAGATCCGTTCTTTTTTTTTTCCTGCTTCTAGTACGGTCATTGCTCTGATGTTAGCCTATCCAAAGCACTAGAGAACAAGTTATTCTCTGAATCTCACAATCTTTTGCAGCTCCATGGAAAATTTGTAGCAAGGAAGAATAGATAGTTCAGCTTCATGGAAACAAAAATTAAGATGATGTCTTTCAAAAAAATAAAGGGATGGGAAACTCTGTTTTACTATAGGAGGGGATGGGAAAGCAAGGATAGTATATTGCACCAGCCTGGCAAGAACCTGGAAGGGTTCTGCTTCTTTCTTTAGAATTATATTTTTCTATACATATACCTTATACAATAGCTTTCGGTCATTTCTTTTCACAGTAGTCATTTCTTATATTTTAATCATCCACAGCTGTTTCCACTTCATTGCACCAAGCATAAATTTATATAATTGTTCTTATATTCCCAATTAACCCCACACAATTCTGTGGAATTCTATAATTCATTTAATTGTCTTGCAAGCAGCTTCCACATCTTCTCTTTCCTTCTCTTCTAATACTTTTTCATACCGGACTCCTTCATACTTTTTGAAACTTGTGTTTTTGATCTCATTTTACTTCTTTTTCTTGCATGTCTATTTTTCCCAAGATTGTGTGTGTGTGTGTGTGTGTGTGTGTGTGTGTATATACACACACACAGATATACAATATCTATAGTATATACAGTATACATATATATTATACACATACATATACACATACTGTATACCAGTGATGGCTAACCTTTTCAGCACCAAGTGCTGAAAGCATGTGTGCACACACCCATAATGCAATGCACATGACACCCCCCCCATGCATGTGTTCGTGATCCCCTGCGTGTGCCCCACCCCCACGCATCCTCGCACATCTTCCACACATGCATCCTCCCCGAGCATGCATGCACATCTCCCACATGTGCCCCATCCCCCGTGCATGCGCAGCAGAGACCTGAAAACCAGCTGGCCGGCGGGAGGCACGTGTGTATGGATGATGGAGGGAACAGCTTGCGTGCCCACATGCCAGATTTGCCATCACGGCTATATACGTATACATGTACACATATACATACACACACATGTATATTATATATATATCAGTTTGGCATATTTTGGCAAGTATGCCACATCATCTTATTCCCAGTTTTATCCCAAGCATCCTCACACTATTCCATGCAACCATAATCTTTAATGTAGAACAGTAGCCCCCAACCTTTTGGGCACTATGGACCAGTTCCGTGGAGGGCAGTTTTTCCACAGACCAGGGCTGTGTGTAGTTTCATGAGCTGCAGGGATCCCACATGTGCGCAGATGGGGCTTCGCTCGATTTTTGACCTGGTTCCTGGCAAGCCGCAGTTTGATGCTGCTCCACAACCCAAGGGTTGGGGATCCTGATATAGAGACTTACCTTACAAGCTTTATTGATATAATTATTCATATTATGAGAAGCTTCCCACTCAAATATCATGATTACATTCTTTTTTTCTTCTGAAAAACATAGGTATCTCTTCCAACGTGGACTAAATAAGAATACTAAAAACAGAGTCACTGTTCCCAACCTTTATTAAACAGCCCATTGCCCTTTGCTTGTCTCCTTCCTAATGGATCCCATAATTTCTCCCTATACTGGTAGCTAAGTAAACTTAGAGGAACTTGATTTTGCCCAAGAATCTTCATCAGCCATAGTGGAGTTGATTTGTTACATGTGAGGGTGATCCTGTTCCTTTTGGCAAAGAACTCTTTTCTCTGATTAAGGGTTTCATTAATCCTTCAGTATTCTCCTCCTCCTCCTCCTCTTCTTCTTCTTTCCCTCCCTCTTTTAAGGACCATCTTCTTGCTAGCCAGTCTCCCCCAGTACACTGGTGCCTATTTTCACCTAGGGTCCATGTGGTATCTACTGGTTGATTAATTCTTCTCATCTGGGTCTTCATAGTATTCACATCAGGCGCACAATATGTTCCTCCTGACTTACCGCCAGCATATGAGATCTGATTTATATGCAGGTTACTGCTAGAATTCATCAATATGGGATTCATCATCCTCAGACTGGAACTCATCGTCTTGGTGAGACTCACTGTCCGTGTGAGAATTACTGTCCTCTTCAGGAGATTCGCCTCCCACTGTGTTGTTTGTATTTTTAATAGGGAAGATGCGCCTCACCTTAAGAACCTTACGGTTAGGATCAGAGTCATATTCGTCGTAAGTAAACTGAGGTAAGGACCTGTACCTGGTGGGCTTACTACGAATAAAATGCCCTCCAGTTTCCCTCATAGGTGTTCTGTCAGCTGGCACACCTGCAAAAAGGAAGGGAGTTCTGATGTTAATATTCAAGATCATGCCCTCCTCTAGAAACAAATGCCCCATTTTTTAAAAATGTCAATTGGAACACAGTTACTTGCTTTGCCCTGAGTCAGACAATTGAGTCTTCTGGCGTAAAACAGTCTACTCTTTCCAAAAACTCATATTTTTACTAGGAATGCCAGGAACCGAACCCACACCCAAGTCAGGTTTATGGCATTAGAGAGCATGTGGTTTATTATGGCACAAAAAAGAGGGAGTCAAGCTATTTTCCAAAGCACTTGAAGGCAGGACAAAAAGTAATGGATGGAAACTAATCAAAGAGGGAGGCAACCTATAACTAAGGAGAAATCTCTTGACAATTAGAACAATTAATAAGTGGAACAACTTGCCTCCAGAAGTTGTGAATGTTCCAGCATTGGAAGTTTTTAAGAAGAGATTGGATAGCCATTTGTCTGAAATAGTATAGGGTTTCCTGCCTAAGCAGAGGGTTGGATTAGAAGACCTCCAAGGTCTCTTCCAACTTTGTTATTCTGTTATGGCCACCATTACTGATTTTAGCAATAATTTAGATATATTTATCTTTAATCATGGGATTATTGTTCTTTTTTTAACTTGGCAATTCCCAGAAAAATTAGTCTTTAATTTTTTTTTTTAACATTGTAGTCGACTATTTTAGGAGAAATCTTCTCTGATTCAGGTATACATTTATGAATATTTATTCCAAGCATATGAAAAACCCAAACAGCTCAATTAAAGAATCTTTGTGCTAAAACACTTTGGAGTATTTTCCACTGGGCCAATCCCGCATCTTGGATTTTCTGTGTCAGAACTCTTTTTTTTTTTGCCCATTCATATGTATTACACTCATGTCTTTAAGATAACGTATTTCTTATACACTAAATGGAAACAATATATGAGATGTTTGTCCATATGGGAATAGAACATAGCTCAATGAAAGCACATCAGCTTCAACCTTCAACCTCTCCAGGTCTAAGCCTAAAATCTTGGCAATCTGCTGCAAATTAACTCAAAAATGAGCTAAGTGGATCAATGGTACAGTTTCATGGAATGCAGTATCCTCCATTTCCTAAATGTTGGACAGTGTGCAAGCAGTAAATATGTGGGAACATTTTTTTAGTGTTGATATGTAGAATTTAATTTAATTTAATTAGTAGAAGCAGAATTTCAATACTGTATCTGAAATAACTCAATTCACTCAAAGCAGCAGCAGCTCTTCTCCAAACTGCATGAAATTTTCAAACTGTTTAGGCTAGAATACAGCTCCTTTTATAATTCCTGCTGGATCAAAGCAAGATTCTATGTTTCAGTTTCTTACCATTAACAACAACAGATTTAAGTTGTCCATTTTCTTCAACTTCCACTCGCTCCTGTCCGTCCTTAATAATTCTGGGAAATAAATAATACTTTTTCAGAGATGAAAATCAGATTCTCTGTTCTAGCTTTTATTTAAGAGGTTGTAAATAACACTTTGTTTTTGAGAAAGGTAGATGCTTTCACTTTGAACAAAACGATCATAAGCAAAATCAGAAAACAAGTGGAGTGGGGGATTTTTCCTGCTGCACCCGAAGTCTGCTGAGCTGTGGTAGCCATGACAGAAAGTTTGGGGGAAATGGTTTTTACCAGGCCCTCTGGTCACATGATCAAATTGTTTATAACCACTGTGTACTACTGAAAGCTATTTGGGGAAAAGGAATAGTTATGGCACATTTGGAGCTACTGGTTAGTTCTTGGAATAATCCCTTCCTCACCTTTTGGTAGTGATTTGTTTGCCATTGAAGAAGTTAGTTGAGGAAGAATAAAAACTGAATCCTTTTCCTCCAACGCAGCTAGTGAAAGCCATAGGATCTCCTAAAAAATAAATTAGCAAATTTAGGTCTTGGATATTTGACATAAAAAAAGAGAAAGAGAGAAAGGAAGGAAGGAAGGAGCAAGGGAGGGAAGGAAAGAAGGAAGGAAGGAAGGAAGGAAGGAAGGAAGGAAGGAAGGAAGGAAGGAAGGAAGGACCAAATTATTTAGCATCTCAGGCAGAAAAGCCTACTGATGTACTTTATAGCAATAAAAATGTGATGGATCAGAGGTTCTAGCTGTTTTATATAGAGATAGGCTTCCATGTGATATGGTCTGCCATACTAAGCAGTTAGGAGCTGGGTTGATATACTATGAAAGCCATAATGTAGTTGGTTGTTTGGGCTTTATACCATGTTTTATTAACTGGAATCTGACACTTATTGTTACATGTCAACTCAGCCAATTGTGGCTTAGTGAAAAAAATATTGGTTAAATAAATAAATGCTTATATCAGTCTCTAAAACCAACTGCTCATTGGAATAGGGCTGATCCACAGTACAGCAGCAAGCAGCAGAAATATACATCAACATATTCAATGGGGATTTGTCATCGCCCTTCAACTAACATTGTAGTTGATTTGACCCCTGGATGTTTTGGCAATTCCAATTCAGTTTGTTGTGCCTTGGTCCTTTATTTCTTTGAAGAAATCCAATCCACTAAATCCATCTTTTCTTGGGACTGCACAGGCACCCCAGAAACATAAGAAAGACATTGGGTTTTTTAAAAAAAAGAATTATTACCAACAATAATAAGAGTTCCCGTGCCAATTCCAAGATACTTTTTCCATTTTCTAAATGGATCTAAATTGCAGCACATTCTTGTTTCTGGCATATTATGGGACAGGCAGATTACAAGTAGTCCTCAATTTACCACAATTCATTTAGTAACCATTCAAAGTTACGACGTTTTCAAAGTTACTGAAAAAAGTGACTTGTGGCCATTTTTCAAACTTATGACTTATGCAGGATCCCCATCAGGGGTGAAATGCTCCCGGTTCGGACCGGATCACCCAATCCGGTAGCGATGGCAGCGGGTGGTTCGGAGAACTGGTAGCAAAAATCCCTGCGCCCCCCCCCCCATGCCCAGCTGAGCCGCACGATCATCAGAGGCTTTTTTTTTTTTACTTTTAAAAGCATTTTTTCGTCGGAAGAGGTTGTTGAAAAAATGCTTTTAAAAGTAAACAAAAAAAAAAGCCTCTGATGATCGTGTGGCTCAGCTGGGATCGTCAGAGGCTTTTCAATGCATTTTTTTCTGCAACCTCTTGGCCAGAAGGGGTGGTAAAAAAATGATTTGAAAAGTCTCTGACAATCCCAGCTGAGTTGCCTGATCAGCAGAGGCTTTTCAAAGCATTAGAAAAAATGCTTTGAAAAGTTAAAAAAAAAAAGTTGGCCACGCCCTCCCAGTCACATTACCCACCACCACCAAGCCACGCCCACAGAACCGGTAGTAACAAATTTTACATTTCACCCCTGATCCCCATGGTCATGTGATCAAAATGCAGACATTTGGCGATTGACCCATATTTATGACGGTGGCAGTGTTGTAGAGTCACGTGATCACCTTTTGCAACCTTCTAACAAGCAAAGTCAATGGGGAAGCCAGATTCAGTTAACAACCATGTTACTAACTTAACAACTACAGTGATTGACTTAACAACTGTAGCAAGAAAGGACATAAAATGGGGCAGAAATCACTTAACAACTGTCTTGTCAGAAATTTTTGGCTCCCTTGTGGTTGTAAGTCAAGAACTATCTGTATATGAATTAGTACAAATAGGTAAGATGGCTTTGAGTTTCTCTGAATACTAAACAGGATTAGTACTTACCAAAAAAAGGATCCCTTCCCCCAAAAAATTCCCGAAAGACATCATGGGCACTGCGGAAATGGAACATATATTCAGAACTAATATTGCTCCCAGCAGATCCTCCTGGCCTACCTGAAAGATGTTAAAGAATGGAAAAGATCAGGGCTGTGCACACTTCAAAAATAATTCAGAACAGAGGTGGTATTCAGCAGGTTCTGACCAGTTCTGGAGAACTGGTAGCGGAAATTTTGAGTAGTTCGGAGAACCGGTAAATACCACCTCTGATTAGCCCTGCCCCCATCTATTCGATGCCTCCCGAGTCCCAGCTGATCGGGAGGAAATGGGGATTTTGTAGTAACCTTCCCCTGGATTGGGGAGGGAATGGAGATTTTGCAGTATTCTTCCCGTGGAGTGGGGTTGGAATGGAGATTTTATAGTATCCTTCCCCTGCCACCAAGCCTTGCCTACCAAGCCATGCCACGCCCACCAAGCCACGCCCACAGAACCAGTAGTAAAAAAAATTGAATCCCACCACTGATTCAGAAGTGCTCCAGAGCAGGGGTCTCCAACCTTGGCAACTTTCAGACTTGTGGACTTCATCTGGGAGTTGAAGTCCACAAGTCTGAAAGTTGCCAAGGTTGGAGACCCCTGCTCCAGAGTGCTTCTTTGCTGTTCATTAAAGCCATCTTACTTTTTCCACACAAACCTGGAAGAAAAGGATGATTGTGCTCAAAGTCTCGGTGGCTCAAGTAAAAGATGCCCTGTTTTAATGAACAGCAGAGAATTGCTGGGTCGTGTGAGTTTGAGGTACACATTCCGAAACATGTTTGAAACATGTTCCATCCCAGAAAAGATATTCAGAATAATTAAATTTAGAGATATTAGTTATGTTATGTTTAACTTAAAACAAGAGATTACCTGGTTAAATATTTCTGAGGAACATTGGAGGCATTTCCCCTTCCCCCCTCTCCTCCCCCCACTTTTTAACCTTTTCCCCCTTTGAACTTCCTTCTCTTTTTTGTAGTTATTTTGTAATTTACATTTTCTTGAAATTTAATAAAGTTGTATTTTAAAAAAAAGATCTCTAGACTGTAAGAAGTGATCGATAAGGAACACAAGGCAGGGGAAGCTCTCTTTTTTAAAACCTAAGTTCTGAATATTAATAATTGACCCAGGTCAGATGAAATCACAGTGCCATGCTAGAGTATCTGTCTCTTGAAACTCTTTTTAAAGGACATTTCTGCACAAGCTTTTCATATCATATCACTCCAGAATCAACTCCAGACTTCTATGTTGGATAACTCTGGCAGTTTAAGTTGTTTATTTCTGATTCAGTTGCAGTGTATTCCAGTGGTGGGTTGCTACCGGTTCGCCCCGGTTCGGGCGAAACGGTAGCAGCGGTGGTGAGAGACTCTGCCCACCCACCCAGACGTCATCAAAAACGCTCTGCGCATGCGCAGAAGCACCAGGCGCTCGCAAAACGAGGGAGCACACCTGCGCGCTCCCAATAATGAACCGGTAGCAAAGAAAATTGAAACCCGCTAATGGTATACTCCAACACTAAAAAAAAAAAGCAATATTTCTGTCTGCAAAATTGAAACGCCATGGAGTTCACAGTTGGTGCTTTGTGGTGTGCCCCCCCCCTTTGGACTGTGGATCCTTTACATCTCTAACAGATGTCTGCCCTTAAAATCATTACTTCCGTGCCCTTCTCAAGTTTATGTCTCCTGGGCACTCCTAAGATTGAGAAAGAAATGCATCTCCAGTTGTGTTGTCTTCTAGAATTCTGACTGCATTTGCTTTCTTTGCAACGTCACGTACCTCTTCCCATGAGTCCATCCTTACCATAGAGGTCATAGACATCACGTTTGTTCTCTGTAAGAAAGAAGGCTTGGTTAACATATACACTAAGCTAGATTGCTGAATTGGGTTTATAGAACATTGACTGTGGTTTACAAACAATCCTAGCTTGATTCTTGCTCCACGCTAAATTAAATTCATCCAAAATATATTATGGCTTAGCATTGTGCAAGCATGTTGAAAAGTAGGACCTTAGCTAGCTCTCCCTCTGTTTTCAGAAACCCTGTTTTTTGTTGGCTTGCTTTGTTTCACAGTCTCATCTAGTCACCATACTTACTTATGTGGAATAATAAATGAATGCAGAAAGACCTGGCTGCATTCTGGACTTTCTGTCAGTATTCCACCATCCTCAGCTAAACTTGAGAATTGATAAGTATCATAAGAACCAAGGTAAGTAAAGCACACAAGAATGAATGTGCAGGGCAATGACAAATTGAACAGACTGCCTTTGTTACAAAGAATGCAACTGCCACCTGCATGCTGAGCTCAGAGACTTTAATCTTAAGGAAAAATAAGGAATCTGATCAAATGGAGTTCAGTGTAGGGATCAGTTGAATGAATGACCTTCCAGAATGTGGGTAAATGGCACCAGCTTCTATGAAATGAAGAAGTATTGAAAGATGTAGAATAAATGATAGGATTAGCTACCATTGGCTTCCCACATAGAAAGAAGGTAGAGACCAATGTGCCAAATGGATGGAATCCAAGAAAGAATCTGAAAATGTTGCTGCTTAAATTCCAGGTAGGAGAGACAGAAAGGCCATATGATCCTATGCATTAAGGTCTTGTGTAAGGAGTACTAAGGAGAAACAGGGATAAGATCTAAGATGAAAAAAGGGCATTTCAAACTGTGTCCCACAAAAGGTTTCACAAGAACTTGATGGGGGTACATGAGGGAGAAAGGGAGAACAACATTCACAATTTTTAAAATATTTTTTATGAAGTTTCATTGTAAGGTAAAGTTAGAAAAATAAGAGAGAGAAAAATAATGACTATCTTTGGTGCAGTAGACTGCAAAAAGAATACAACCTCAATATTTTACTTTACATTTCATAACATTTCAAGCTATTTCTGTAATTATGAACTCATTCTAATTATCCAAACCTAAAATCAACATTTCATTTTGTTCTGTTTTGAGCAGAAAGTCCAGAAGCAATTTGCAAGTAGAAAAAAAATAAATTATTTTCTTTAATTAAAACAATCAATTTTGCCATCTCCACTAACTCCATCACCTTTTCCATTCATTCTTCCATTGTGGGTATTATCTATCTTTGTACATATAAGAGTTTTACAGCCAAATTTCACCATTTTTCTATTACTAGAGGTTTGTCTCTTGATCAGGAACTTTTTAAAGAAATCTTAACAACTACGTTTAAGAACCTCAAGTCTGTGCAACAAATATCAAATTGTACCTCCCACTGCTGATACTGACTGAGTTTATCTTCCAGATTTCAGTGGGAGAAAATGAACCCTTCTTTAAGGATTCAAGGCACTAGTATTACAAGAAAGTCTTGATGCACCTACTTACAACTAACTATGACAATATGTCACAATGCCCCCCCTTCATTGTTCAGACAAATACATTAAAGGCACTAAATAAATTTGGTTGAGCAGTAATAACATGCCAAACATTGGGGTATTTTGGGGGTAGGGGAAAGGAGACAAATATACAAGAGGCAATAAGAGGCACTTTTTCAGTCATGAAAAGAGAGCTTGAATACTTACTATCTGAAAGTACTTCATAGGCTTCTGCAATCTCCTTGAATCTCTGTTCTGCAAATTGTTTGTTTTCTGGATTTTTATCTGGGTGCCACTTGAGAGCTTTCTTCCTGTACCTTTAATGTTCATGCACACAGAGATACAGATACAAAATTAGCATCCGCGGTAGCGGAAATTTCGAGTAGTTCGGAGAACCAGTAAATACCACCTCTGACTGGCCCCGCCCCCATCTATTCTCTGCCTCCCAAGTCCCAGCTGATCGGGAGGAAATGGGGATTTTGTAATATCCTTCCCCTGGAATGAGGAGGGAATGGAGATTTTACAGTATTCTTCCACTGCCACGCCCACCAAACCACACCCACCAAGCCACACCATGCCCACCAAGCCACACCCACAGAACCGGTAGTAAAAATTTTTGAAACCCACTGTACAAAACACACACACACACACATAGAGAGAGTGGGGGGGAGAGAGAATAAATCACAAAGTTGATAAAGTGGACAGCAGTTCTTAAGTACAAAGGATTTGTGCAATTCTGTCACCTCATTTTTGGGACAAAGAAGGGAACAGATTACTACTGCTCCACAGGATTTTTTTTCCTATTTTTTTTAAGTAGGCTTCAACAACCTCTGCCCTAGTCTGACCCTACTAGTTGAGGAGCAGTCAAGTTGGCAGACTCACTTCGGACTGTTTGAAGCGATCTCCCTCCAGTGGTTTAGAGTCTGGCATATGGTTAGAGGAGAATGTTGAGTACTATTACAATGCATTAAGCAAATGCATTATCAGATGTTACAAAGATAATTTTGAAATTTGCAGCAGGCTAATTTGCAAGCATTTTATTATAATCAGGTAGCAACATCTCTACACACTTCGGGCCTTAAATATATCTGCAGCAAAAGTAAAAGGAGGAAAGAAGATCTCCTGCATAGACTTGCAAGCTCTTCTGGTGAAACAATGATAGTATGGCAAATTAAGGGTGGCCTCTACAGGTAGTCCTTGACTTACGACACAATTGGGTTGTAAACATCTGTGACTAAGCAATGCGGTTGTTAAGTCCTGTCTGATTTTGCCATCTTTTTTTTTTTGCCATGATTATTAAGTTAATCAGAATGACCTTGGGACAATTCAATTGTTGTACGTGTCAGGACCAATTGTAAATCATGTTTTTGAGCACCCATTGTAACTTGGAATGGTCGTAAATCAAGGACTACCTGTACAGGGCACAATTACGAACTGCTTCAGAGTGAAGTTGCTAATAGTGGGTGACATAACAAAATCCAAGCCTTCTTTGTGGGCTTGTTGGCCATCCTTTAGAACAGAGGTCTTCAAACTTGGCAGCTTTAAGACTTGTGGACTTCAACTCCCAGAATTCTCCAGCCAGCTGCTCTTGGATGTGATGGAAGATGCTCCCCTAATACCAATTTTACCTACAAGTAAAATTCTACCTGCTATCTTATTGACTCCAATGGAAGGAAAGTTCATCTCATACTTTGCTTATGGCACCAAAATATCTGAAATTAGCTTTACAAAACCCAGAAGTATTGCCTTTCTTCCCTTTTACCCTACACACAAGGGCTATTATACAATTAAGATAATGTTAACTGAATGGGTATGTGTATTGTATTTGTTTAGAGGACTTTTTTTTTAATGCCTATTAATGCTCCAAATCTGCCATCTGACAAACTAGGACATATTTTTAGTGGATCAAATTTTTTAAGATGATTAGTATGATTAATAGGATTCCTGGACTTGCTACAGTGTTCTTAAAATATATATCTGTTCTCTGAAATATTTTTTAAAAAGTGATTAAACTCTACAGTGTTAAAGCCCACCTACCTCTTCTTGCCTTAAATAGTGAAACATCTGTTACAAGAAGAGGTTCACTAAAAGTGAATTTCTTGCTTCTCAAAGTGCCTGCATTACAGAGGTGGGTTTCAGCAGGTTCTGAACAGTTCTGGAGTACCAATAGCGGAAATTTTGAGTAGTTCGAAGAACCAGTAGTAAAAATTCTGACTGGCTCCGCCCCCATCTATTCTCTGCCTCCCAAATCCCAGTTGATTGGGAGGAAATGGGGATTTTGTAGTAACCTTTCCCCTGGAGTGGGATGGGAATGGAGATTTTACAGTATCTTTCCCCACCAAGCCGTGCCCACCAAGCCACACCACGCCCACCAAGCCACGCCCACAGAACCGGTAATAAAAAAAATTGAAACCCATCACTGCTACATTAGCTGATTGGCTGGAGGATAACATCCTCTTAGAAATAAGGTAACAACAGAGGTTATTGATGAAATCAATTTTTGAGTAAATCAAAAGTACTTACGCTTTTTTAATATCATCTAAGGAAGCAGTCTTGGGAAGTCCCAGGGCTTCATAGTACTCCACCATGTTGAAGAGATGTTTTCTGCAGAACCGGTGAGGATGTAAACACAGTCAAACAGATATGTATTAGAAGGTCTCTAGATAGTCAACCAAAATCTTTGAGTTTTCAACTGAAGTTACAGGTGGTCATGGCCATTCACCAGGTTGGGCAGGCCCATATGGAGACGCAAATGGTTGGATAGTTGATCCTACAACACAGAGAAGAAAGTGTCATGCTACTCAAATATATATTAGCTTCTCCAAAGACATGGGGGGCGGGGAGAATGAACCTACATGTTCCCTATTGATTCATGTTAGTATTTTTGTATCAGATAGAAAGACAGAAGGTCTTCAGATAGGGCAAAGGTGATTACAAAACTGCCGATACCACACCTTTCCTAGAGATAATCTCTTAGATACTAAGGGAAGACTGAGGAAAAAAATTAAGATACATTTGAAGAAAACAAAGATCCCCATCCACATGTACAGAGGTGCTTCCACTTCCGGCATGAACTGGATCATCTACCATTTCACTCTCCACCCTTTCTGTGAGTCTTTATCAGGACATTAAACGTTTTTTAAAAAAAATCCATTAACGTTTAACATCCTTCATTCTCTTGTACCTATCAGCAGTTCAGTTCTAGTTGGTCCTTTTGCCCATTTTGACGCTACTAATTTCAGATAAGAATAGTGCCTAATTGAATTTGCTGCTTCAGATTTTCATGTTTTTGTGTGGCTGAGAAAGAGGGGATAATCAACAGTTGGACAAAGCATATTAGATTTTTATTGGTTAATCTCCACAGTCACACAGGAGCTGAATCCGCACAACATATTTAAACTTGGCTTCTAAATTGATTTCTCTGGGGTCACACAATACAATGAATCATACTATCTGAATATATAATCTAAGCCGCAATAAAACAAACCAAAGATAACCTTTATCATGCTAAGTAACACGTCTTCAAGAAAAGGAGAATTCGGGTTATCGGTTTCTTTTTCAAGTCTGCCGTACTAATATTTATTCATTTATTTCATTTAACAATATATATTGTAAAGGTACCTAGCCCTACTTAATACAATGTTCTATAAAGTCGTCTAGAAAGAACTGTCAGTCTGGATCTCAATTACAGGGGGCTTTTCCACTAGTCTCTGTAAGCTGCTGTGGCCTAGAGGTGGAGCTCTTGCCTCACAATCAGGAGGTTGGGAGTTTGATCCTAGGTAGATGTAGGGTCTCCTGCTTGGGTTGGACTAGATGACCTGCAAAGTCCCTTACAACTCTGTTAATCTCAGGAAGAGGATTGAGCACTTTGAGGAAAATGAAATTTCCCACGATTACTTTCACTTTGAGAAAAGTAAAAATCCACACAGCTGAGTACATGTAAAATTCTCTATACAGGCCTGCCACTGGGTTGCCTTTTTCTCTTATGGACTAGTTTCACATTTGCTGTCCACCTATCAAAACCCAAAGCAGTTGGGTACCTTATTGTAGAGGAAACAACTGTCCTGGCTGCATGTTGGGCCCAGTTCTGAGATCTTGCAGGTGTCAGCTCACACCTGCACACACACACACAGTTGCTGACTGATCAGAAGGTAAAGGGAAAGGAACTCAGCAATAGCCAATCACCCAATTCCTTTTCTTTTGCAAAACAGCAGTAGCAACAAGAACCAATGGGAAGTTTGACCTGATTATGATGTCACCTCTTTGTATTTTTCATATGGGACATTATAAACTAACCATAGATCTCAAGGCAGGGGAAAGTGAGAAGAAAAATGTATTAAGGCCCATATTGCTGCTGTTTCATTCAACTTTAATTTAATTACAAGAATTATGTCCCACTGAAATCAGCTTCCTCCAGTTCTGGAGAAATCTAATTATCTCAGCCTACTTCACGCTGACTTCAAGACTGAGCTGTGAGCTGTGACTCTGCCTTTTTAAACCTGATGGATTATCTTTGCTTGGAGAACAACAGAGGGAGCATGGCTTTGTTTTTGTTTTTCTTTGATAGAAATTTATAAGGCTGTCCAACTCTACAATGACTCAAACAGCAAACAGCAAAAACAATCATGAAAGATAAATTAAAAACTCCAAATCCTAGAGAAAGACAACTATGAAAAGAAATTATCAGACACAGAGGATTAACTAACCCATTTTAACCCACAATCTGGGAAAACAGCCAGGTTTTCAAAGCTCTTTTCGACATAGCCAAATTTATTGGGAGGGCGTGTGGAATGATGTTCCAGAGGGCATTTTTCAACAAAATGTTGCCTTAGTCAATCAGAGCCCCAAGGTCGGGGCTCTTGATGTTGGTTCTTCCCTAGTGAGAATTGACTTATTGAAACAGAGTTGCTGGATGACAATATCCCACAGGTGTCAAACTGGCGTCGTCGTGTTACTGTCATGTGATGTATTGCGATGGTTTTTCCCTTCACGGAGCTGGGGTGGGCATGGCCTATGCATGATGCATCCGGCCCGCAGGCCGCCAGTTTGACACCCATTGAATATCCCAATGCTAGGAAGAGGAAAAGTACTTCTGTTTTTATCACCGCATTTGATTATTTCAGTTAGCTTGGCAGCCTAACCCAACATGAAGTAGCATTTGCCTTGTGGCCTCCCTAGTCTGAAGTAGCATTTGCCTCATGGCTTCCCTAAAATTTATTCCCATGAACAAAAGAGGATGGCTGCTAGTAGAAGAGTCATCCATCTGAACTATAATGAAGTGAATGCCCGTGTGTTCTATTTTTTAAATAATTGGCATGGGCATCCTTCAGTCTCAAGAGACTATGATATCGTGCTCTGGAAAGAGGTCCTAAAACAGCATCTAGTGTGACTAAAAAGGCCAATTCGAGAGTGGCAATCCCTTCCATCCTGAGGGCAGATACATTCTGTCCCCTGCCCAGCCCCCAGATTTCGATGGTTCTGGGATTGCCTCTTTGCCTCAGCCTGACGAACAAGTGTCTCTTCAAATTGGAGAAAGCCATGCTGCGTCTTTAGCCTCCAAGCTGAACGATCGGAGGTCAAGGTTTCCCAGTTGTTAATGTCCATTCCCAGGGCCTTTAGGTCCCTCTTGCAGATATCCTTATATCGCAGCTGTGGTCTCCCTCTGAGGCACTTTCCCTATACTAATTCTCCATACAGGAGATCTTTTGGAATCCAACCATCAGCCATTCTCACGACATGCCCCAGCCAGCGTAGACGTCGCTGTTTCAATAGTGCATACAATACATGCTAGAAATTCCAGAATGTTCCAAGATTGCGCTATTTGGAACTTTGTCCTGCCAGGTGATGCCAAGAATTTGTTGGAGACAGCGCATATGAAAGGAGTTCAACTTTCTCTCCTGCTGTGCGTAAAGGGTCCACGACTCACTGCAGTACAAGAGTGTGCTCAGGACTCAGGCTCTATAGACGGGGATCTTTGTATGTTCTGTCAGCTTGTTATAAAGCCATACTCTCTTTGTAAGTCTGGAAAATGTGGCGGCCGCTTTACCAATTTACCAAAGGGTCTTATCAAAGTATAAATACAAATGAAAATAGTGGGATAATGAAAGGGGGAGATACAGTAGATAAGTGCAGAGTAAAGGGGGAAAGGAAATCATTGACTTCTGACTCTTTTTAGTGCAATAGTGAATAACTATTTTTAGTGAATAACATCATTGAAGTCTCAACTTTTTAATTTTACATTCTTAATATGTGCTGTCTTATCTAATCGGCAAAATCCCAATTCAAAGTTTCATTTTTTTCCATCTCAACTTCGCAAGCACAAAATCCAAAGTAGTTTCCAAGTATCTTATGTTCTATTTTTCAGAGGGAAGAAAGTGCCTTCTTAAAAGAGTTGCACATTTAGTAACAGTTACTATGAAGAAGAGAATTATTTATTCTTTTTTCTAAAAGCAAATAAACTCCTATTTGCTATAAAGTAAAATGAAAAACCTTAGGAACAATCCCATATTGAAACCTGGAGTCTCCTGGACAAAATATTTAGGCCTTCCTACTTCATTTAAAATAAATGTTTGTTAAAATAAGTCTCCTATTTAAATGTGCATTAAAATTAGTCTCTTTAACTCTTGGTTCCATCAGCCATTAAGTGCTACAGTTCCATGCACAGTAAAATGAACAAAATGTTCTGTATATTAAGAGGAAAATCATTGAATGAGGAGGTGAGAAAGTTATGAGAAAAAGTATTAGAAACCAAAAACAAAAGAAACCACTACTCTAATATAATCTATGTAGATAATATAAACATATGAAAATGATAGGATTAAAAAACTGGGATTTCTAAGAGTCGTGGTGGCACAGTGGTTAAAATGCAGTATTGTAGGCTAATTCTGCTGACTACCGATTGCCAGCAGTTCGGCAGTTCGAATCTCACTGGTTTAAGGTTGACTCAGCCTTGCATCCTTCCGAGGTCAGTGAAATGAGGACCCAGATTGTTGGAGGCAATATGCTGATATCTGTAAACTGCTTAGAGAGAGCTATTTACAGTGAAATTTTTATGAGGGGAGGAATTGCTGTCAGCTGATATCTTCTAGAGATGAGTTACATGAATTTTCTTGATCTTTGATTTAAATGTGGAAAAGTATCTACTGTCAAATGACTATTTAATATTTAATAATGCTTCCTTTTCCCTTTAATCTGCATGAAGCCCTAGGGCCCTGTTATGGCTCAGAAAATAACAGACTGAAAATACAATTCAGACACACCTATCCAAACACACTCTCCCACTGTCCATAGTGGTGGTCCTTTATGAAGATAATAAAGACAGATACTTTGGCCTTAAACTTTGATTACAAAAAAAATGTTTATGTGGCTCCTAAGTGCAAATTCAGAAAATTACAGCATCTTGTGCAATTCCTGAAAGGATAGAGGATGTCCTATCAATATGCAAGGAAGAACAAGATGCAACTTGCAAACTGCATTTCTTTGAAACTGAATCCTGAGTATTTTGACTTTCATATAAAAAAATAATTTGGTAATATTAAGTACTTTTATGCCCCGTTAATCTTGGTGAGAGAGTTAAGATGCTTTTGATTTTCTCCAATTAAGATGTGTGGGACTTAAAAGTTGCTATGTTATGGAAACTTACTTACCTTGAAGTAAATTCTTTTGAATTTAGTGGATTTTTTCTGTTGCATAAACATGCCTGCAGTCAAGCTACACAACACTTAACTTTGGATCACAGTTCAACTCGTAACCCTTGTGGTTCCTCCCAAAAGTCTTTGTTGCTTTTATTGCTCCTTTTTACCCCACTCTTAAAAAGCAGATTACCAATGAATGTCAGTGTTATCATTCTACTGGAGTAATCTTTACAGCTCAGGATTCTAGGAACTCTGGTCCAAATAAAGTTGGAGAAATGCTTGCTCATAGTACCAATAATGATCCTCTGCTTCAATATCAGTTTCTGAACTAAGCAGTTTTCAGACAGAAATGACTCACATGACAGACACCCCCCCACACACACACACACACTGCCGATGTTCAGTTTGGAAATGCTTCTCAAACAGCATCTGCTCACAGCATCTGAAATACAATATTGACTACAAATACAGATACATACAGGTACACAGATCATGCAACTTTTTTTTTACTACTCTAAGTAACTTGGTCAAAACTTCCTGGGTTGCTGGCTTACACTATTTCTATGAGCCTAGTCTTTCATGAAATTACAGTAAATGTGGACTGGAAGGAAGACTTCTACTTCCACCCTTTATTAAGCATCTGTCCAGATCTCCAAGATTTATACCAGACTCCTGAGTTTAGGAGTTATGGAAAGAGCTGGAATGGCGAGTCAAGGGAGAGAAGTTGCCCCTGCCCGGAAACCTATTTACAGAGCCCGGGAACCTGCTTGAAATATCTGGAAGATTAGGTGTCATTCCCCCTCGTGTCCAATAGCCTCTTCTTGAGAGAAGTGGTGGGATTCCTTGGCCCATGCCTGGGCTCCTCTGCCTTCTAGGCTTGCTGGGATTGTCTAAAAACAGGTTGTGCCCATGCAGAAGACGACTTCCACTACCATGCAATGGCCTCAGCCCCCTCTGGGGTGATCTGTCTATGTTTGGAAGTTGGCTGGTCCATTTGGTTCCTTCTGGTGACTGATCTTTTGGAAGGTGGTTCCCTCTACATAAGAGCTTCCTTGTTCCATCCAAAAATTTCCTCACGCCATTGAGGAGCCCATCTGTATTATCCGATGATAGTTTGCTTACTTCATTTGGTGGCTGGGTCTGCAGGTTGTTGCCTTGCTCATCAGAAGATGAAACTGTTGGAGAATTTGGAGGAGTGCCTCTAGGTGAGTTGGGTGCTCCTTCACAGTGCTTGCTTTCAACTACTGGGCAATGCCCATCTGATAATCCCTTCATCTTTTGGGGATTATCGTTATTTCTAGAAGAAGGGTCTGGTTTGTCTTCTGACCCCCCTAGAGGGGATCTGCATTTCTTCTGCAGTTTGTTCCAATTAGAGGGGATCTCATATTCAGGAGTTGAACCATCTTTGGTCTCTGACTCATTCTGCTGTGTGGGCCAGTCATACGTAGGAGAGCAATCACATTCATAGGGTGACTCATATTCTGGAGAGATTTTGCCCTCATCTTGCGTTTCATATATTGGAGGAGTCT